GAGAGTGTTGACGAGGACAAGGCTGGAGATCACTCTGTCATGCTGATTGAGTTAGAATAACAGACTGGAAGCTTTAAAAGGAGGGTGGTGCTTGAAATCATTGTTCTTCCTCTGTTAACCATGGTTACCTGCAAGGAAACACGTGCCGTCATCATTGCTTTGCACAAAAAGGGCTTCACAGGCAAGGATATTGCTGCTAGTAAGATTGCATCTAAATCAACCATTTATCGGATCATCAAGAACATCAAGGAGAGAGGTTCAATTGTTGTGAAGAAGGTGTCAGGGAGCCCAAGATGGTCCAGCAAGCGTCAGGCCCGTCTCCTAAAGTTGATTCAGCTGCGGGATCGGGCCACCACCAGTGCAGAGCTTGCTCAGGAATGGCAGCAGGCAGGTGTGAGTGCATCTGCATGCACAGTGAGGCAAAGACTTTTGGAGGATGGCCTGGTGTCAAGAAGGGCAGCGAGGAAGCCACTTCTCTCCAGGAAAAACATCAGGGACAGACTGATATTCTGCAAAAGGTACAGGGATTGGACTGCTGAGGACTGGGGTAAAGTCATTTTCTCTGATGAATCCCCTTTCCGATTGTTTGGGGCATCCGGAAAATACCTTGTCTGGAGAAGACAAGGTGAGCGCTACCATCAGTCCTGTGTCATGCCAACAGTAAAGCATCCTGAGACCATTCATGTGTGGGGTTGCTTCTCAGCCAAGGGAGTGGGCTCACTCACAATTTTGCCTAAGAACACAGCCATGAATAAAGAATGGTACCAACACATCCTCCGAGAGCAACTTCTCCCAACCATCCAAGAACAGTTTGGTGACGAACGATACCTTTTCCAGCATGATGGAGCACCTTGCCATAAGGCAAAAGTGATAACTAAGTGGCTCGGGGAACAAAACATCGACATTTTGGGTCCATGGCCAGGGAACTCCCTTAATCCCATTGAGAACTTGTGGTCGATCCTCAAGAGGCGGGTGGACAAACAAAAACCCACAAATTCTGACAAACTCCAAGCATTGATTATGCAAGAATGGGCTGCCATCAGTCAGGTTGTGGCCCAGAAGTTAATTGACAGCATGCCAGGGCGGATTGCAGAGGTCTTGAAAAAGAAGGGTCAACACTGAAAATATTGACTCTTTGCACTTTGTACTAGGCTTTGACACTTATGGAATGCTTGTAATTATACTTCAGTATACCATAGTAACATCTGACAAAAGTATCTCATAACACTGAAGCAGCGAACTTTGTGAAGACCAATACTTGTGTCATTCTCAAAACTTTTGACCACGACTGTATGTCTGACAAGTAGGATGGCGCTGCGGCTTGGGGTATTGCTTCTTCAACCTTTGTAATTTATTCCCTGTGAATCTGGTGATAGTTATTAACCCCTGTTCAGAGAAATTTGGCATTGAAGTTGCTTGCATTATTATTTAATTATTGTGGTCAAGCCAGTCCTTCATGAACGCCAGTCAGTTTGTCCTTTTTTTAGCAACATAATGCTTCAACCCAACTCTCCCTGAATAGTCCAAAAAGTGGCAGCTCTCTGAGAGGGCTATCCTTATTGTGCAATTCTCATGTTAATAAAACTTGGTGGAAAAATGGGCTAGGGACTAAAATGTTGTGGCAGCCATAATAAAATGATATTTTAAACCATTGCATGACGGTCTTATGTTTGTCAAAATAAATATTAGAAAACAGCTCTATTTAATGCGATTAGTGACATTTACCATTAAACCCAATTGAATTGCTTTCATGGAGGACTGGCTTGAATTGTGAGGATTACCACACAATGTATTTTCATCATGAGCAAAAGCTATTGGTCTCTACCTAAAGTTGCAAAGGAAATATTGTGATCTATTTAATAAAATGGATAAAAGATCATCCAGTGGTCAAAACCTGGTACTTTCACACTCATTTATAGTAACTAATGCAAGCGACTTCAATGACACATTTCTCTAAACAGGGGAAAATAACCGTCACCAAATTCACAGGGAATACATTACATAGTATGAAGAAGCAATACTCCAAACCGCAGCTTAATACTATGTTTTACTATGTCAGACATATTAGAACTGATACTGATACTGTATACTGGATGTTGGGGTGGGATTGGCGTGGGGGGGGGTCCGTGGGTGGCTTTAGATTTTTTGGGGGGATTCATCATGTCTTCCTAATTTTAGGAAGTAGTTTGGTCCACATTGGATGTTGGGTACTATATTTATTGAATATTATCTGAATCCTATCAATTAAAATGTCAAATTTTGGCGTATTCAATTAGCTACATTTCTCAGATCAAATTATATTTAAAAAATAATAATGTTCAGGAAAGCTAATCGTATCAGTTACTATTTCAGAACAGTCTGAGATGGTGGGTGTCGAAAGCGCAGCGTGCTGGATACATGAGCCCCGACCTGATTCGCTTTGGCTAACATTAATCAAAAACAGTAAGCGGAAAAGAAAAACGAGACTTGAGCGCCAAACTTTTTGAGGATCTTGGGTTACGCTGAGTACCACGGTGGGTCCCGCAGTTTTACTCAAGGTGACCCGACCGCTCCCGTGTCAAACCACGTGAAGACTACTTCTGTCCTAAGGGCCTTAGTTGTTTTGGCTAACCTAAATGGTGCACATAGCAATGCTTTCTTCCCTTCTTGAACATCAAATAAATAGGCAAAATATGTTCGAAAATGGCTGTGTATTCTAGTGTAAGTTCCATTTAGCCTATGTCTTTGCCATGTTCAGTGTAATGTTAAAGGTAATGTGAAGACTATTGTTCAGACGTACCAGGTCTGGCAAGGCATGGCCAGGACTGCTAGAGGCTAAGGAAAGAAGGAAGGGAAGAGTCTAGAATTCCTCTCCATCTCCCTCCTACCGTCCCCTCCATCCCACCCTCCACCCCCGTCCCGTTGAGGAGCCCCATATGCTGAAGGACACTCAGGAGAGGGGCTTTGTGGGTTTTAGGAAGGGGGGCTCCTCAGCTCCCGCTGTCTGCTTACTGTATCTCGGTCACGTCTAGTGTTTTAATCAGACAGTTACCATAGGTCTCCTCTCTCTGCCTTTCTCTCCTTCCATCCCTCCCTCCCTTCCTCCCTCCCTCCCTCCCCTGTTCTCGCCTGTCTGTCACTCAGTGGGGTGAGAGCAAGGGGGAGAGAGAGAGAAAGTGCTGCTGTCCTTAGACAATTTTTTAAAAATACTTTTACTGTTGAAAACGATATCCCAAATATAAATACAGTAAAGTACACACACTAAAGGGTAAACAAATATTTTTTGAGCAAAATAGTGTTTTTTAGAGAACTGCAAAGTTCAAGTAGTAGGGCATTCAAGGAGTTGGTCTGATAGGAAGTCGTGGTGTCATCGGCCTCCCCCTTGCTTGAGGAACAATAGAGGAGCAATATAGAACAAAAGAGGAAAGGCCCACCCCCCTACTTGTGCTGTGTCATGACTTACCTGGACCACCTATTGTTAAGTAAATCAGGTGTTAAATTAGGTGAAAAGGAGACTGGAGTGCCACTTTAAAGCCTGACAGACAGCGGGGATTTGCATAGTGAGTATGAGCAGTCTACTTGTCATCGCCATCACAGCAGCAGCACAGAGGAGAGAGGCTGGCTGGAATCTCAAGGTCTTTTCATGTCTGCTCTGCAGTTGTCCATTTCAGCCACTATTCTTGTCAGTTCTCATTTTAAACTACATCCCATTTAGTCCGCTGTCGTCCTCACCGGCTCACCCAAACAGCTCATCATAGCTAGCTATTTAACACGGCTATATATGAACATGGTTCAAAGAATTATGTCCCTGGGTGTGTACAGTGTTTATTAGTGTCTGTGCCCGGCTTTTGTTGTAGACAATGTGTTGGATGAGCCGGAATCTCAAAGAGCAAGAGGAGCAGGTAAACTAATGCATTCAAACTGTCCCGAGTGGCGCAGTGGTCTAAGGCACTGCATCGCAGTGCTAGCTGTGCCACTAGAGATCCTGGTTCGAATCCAGGCTCTGTCGTAGCCGGCCGCGACCGGGAGACCCATGGGCCCAGCGTCGTCCAGGGTAGGGGAGGGAATGGCTGGCAGGGATGTAGCTCAGTTGGTAGAGCATGGCGTTTGCAACGCCAGGGTTGTGGGTTCGATTCCCACGGGAATGAAAAAATAATAATATATGCACTAACTGTAAGTCGCTCTGGATAAGAGCGTCTGCTAAATGAGTAAAATGTAATTCAAAAAGTTGCTTCAATCAACCCTGTGCTGTTGGGCACCAGTGTTCCCATTTCCCACTAGCCTCTCCCCCCTTCTGAGCTGTGCTGTGGAGCCCGTTGCCATGGTTAACGTTGAGTGACATCCCCCTGCTGATAGCCAGGTAGTCTCCGTGGATACGCCAGGTCATTAAATGGGAGCTGGGGAGCGGCGGCTCTGGCTGGTTGGTATCGACCTGACAGACACTGAAATGAGGTGGCCCCGTGCCAGCCCCCCGTCTGACCCTGGCCCTGGCACTGCATGGACTGGCAGCTCCCCTTACAGCCCCTGGGCTCACTCACTCACTCCCTGTGGAAATGGAGACAGTAGATAAATGATTAGCGACAGCTTCATGCATTCCCCAGTCCCCGTCCTCATGAGTGAGTATATGAATACGTTTTCATGAACTGGTGGAGATTTTGCGCCATAATGCCGTCATAGTGGCTGTGTAAGTCTTGGAATGCGTAGAGCGGTTTATCCGTGGTAAGACTGCTTACACTGAAGAATGACCAAAGCCACATAATGTGGCTAGTCACTTTGGATAATATGATACTCTGCTAATATGACATATCCTTTGTGTTTCTACGGAAGCAAATTCGTTTTATTGATTCCACTGCACTGTCCAGTCTTTAAATGTTTTTTAAGCACCAGTAACTACATACCTGACAGTGCTCTCTTGGCTTTACACGTTTCAAAGATGGCCGCCACCTGGCTACCCTTTCAGAAGAATCTCTTGTGGTTTGAAACTGCGAGGTGAGGAGGGGTGTGGATGGGGAATAGGAGTTTCACAAGGGTGGTGGGGGAGGAGGTGTTTTGGGGAACTGGAGGATAATTTGACTCTGTCGGCAGCACCTCCCTCCAGGGGCTTGCTGCAAGAACAGGAAGTGCAGGCGAAGACTGAACAAACCCATGCGGTCTATAATTAGCTTGGTGGCGGGCATCAGGGGCTCTCCTGGGAGGTGGCACAGGGAAGAGCGGGAGCACGTTCTCTTGATTCGTAACATGCAGTTAAAACCGCCTATTTACGGCATCTGACCGCAAGCGGTACCGGAGTGGCAAGTCTAGGACCAAAAGGCTCCTTAACAGCTTCTACCCCCAAGCCATAAGACTGCTGAACAATTAATCAAATGGCCACCCGGACTATTTACATTGACACCCCCCCTCCCCTACATGTACAAATTATGCATAGTCACTTTACCCCTACCTACATGTACAAATTACCTCGACTAACCTGTACCTTCGCACATTGACTCTGTACCCGTACCCCCTGTATATAGCCTCGTTATTGTTATTTTATTGTGTTACTTTGTATTATTTTTTACTTTAGTTTATTTGGTAAATATTTTCTTAACTCTTTCTTGAACTGCATTGTTGGTTAAGGGCTTGTAAGTAAGCATTTCACGGTAAGGTCTAAACCTGTGGTATTCGGCGCATGTGACAAATCAAGTTTGATTTGATTCTGGCCTGTCGCCGGGGCCCACAGGGGCCTCCGTCCTCTCTTCTCTCCTCCTCTTCCATCCCAGGGAGAGAGCAGTGACAAGAGGCTGCATGGGTTCAGGTCACACAAGGAGCTCAGTGATGCAGAGGACTCACCTTGAGAAAGCAGCTTTTTATGGCGTTGGACTCAATATACAATAATAGGGACGCCTGTGTACTTTATTGTGAGGTATAGTGGTATCTCTCTTTACATGAGAAGAGCGGTATCAGCCAGACAGCCAAGCACGTTTCGGTGACCCTCCGAAAGGTAGCTGGAGTAAACGAGAGAGAAGAGAGGAGAGGAGGGAAAGAAATGTGTGTTTTGGGGGCTTTGTGGTGTGCAAAGCTGAGAGGAAAGGTTATCCTTTCAGACTACCGATAAATGGCTGTGTGTGTGTGTGTGTCTGCGTGCGGTGCAGTGCTAGGGTGATGTAAGGTCTTAGAGTTGGGCAGGGACTGCAGTGGAGCATGATGGTCGTCGTCTCGCCACAGCTTGGAATGCGAGACACCCCTCTTTTCTCCTCCCCTCTGGGCCCCTCTCTCTGTCCCCCAATGACTGTTTATGAATAAACAAAGCCATCGATCACGTAACACAATGAATTCCTATGTGAAGACTCAATAGCGCATTGAAGCCAAAATAAGTCAGATGGCGTCTCATGGATACATAACATGCGCAGTTTGAGCTAAACCAGGAAGTTGCGTTGCAGGCTAGCTCAGTGCTGCGCGCTCTCATTAAGTAACTAAAGTTGATGGCCGACCGGGGTACTGCAGGCTGAATAGCAACTAAATTATCCTAGATAGATGGGAGGTGTTGAATGGAGCTGAAGGATGGAAATAATAACAGCATGATAACTAATGAAGGGCATGCTGTGTCCATAATACGTTTATAGGTTGAGAGCTTTTGTGAAGGAGCACAGTTGGAGAGATATGGCATATAGAAGCAAACCGGATGGGCATCATGAAAATGATCGGAGAGGTTGAGGGTAGAGGAAGTTCAGGAGTAAAAACAAACAAAATACAATTATTGTAAAATTGACTGTGTCCATAACATTTATATAGTATGTATAAGATGGAAGTAGAGGCCTAAGCGTTGTTGTTCACTAGTTTACTCCAATTAGGGAAGGGGTGGTGGGGTTGGAAAGTAATAAAGGGAAATATATTTAAAAAAGGATATATATATATATATATATATATATGTGTGTGTGTGTATGTATATATGTATGCGAGAAAAAAAACTATGGGGAATTGGAAGTGATGCAGACAATTATATTGATGGAAGTTACAATCTATCTGCAATATTAAAGCTGATCTACCCACCCCTCCCAAAAAATTTAAAAAACTAAATTATCCTTATAATCCCTTTTCTATGTGCGATTTATAAAATAATCGGTTCAAGGACATACATCTGTTGTAATAGAAGCAATTATAGGTACCCTGATTGACCACGAAGATTGCCATTTTCCCATTCACTATAATGGGGGATCCTGTTTTCTGCAAACAATTACATTTTAGTCATTTAGCAGATGCTCTTATCCAGAGCGACTTACAGTTATTGAATGCATACATTGTCATACTGGCCCCCCGTGGGAAACGAACCCACAACCCTGGCGTTGCAAGCGCCATGCTCTACCAACTGAGCTACAGGGGACAATGCCTGCAGGACCGCGGTCGGCCTTGAACTGCATGGCTTTAATAAGATGGGGCAGTCGTTCTCCCCTGCTATCCCCTTCTCTAACTCTTTGTCCCTCTCTTTCCCACTACTTTCTTCTCTGTTTTCTCCCATGCCCATTTTCACTCCCACACTAAAAATCGAATTGTGTCCTCTAGAATTGAGAGAAAATTAATTAATTAGGCTAGATGTCATTTGAACTGAAGCCCCAAGGTAAGAGTCTGTTACACAACTACTTTTTATCAGAGTTTTCAGACAACTGTGTGCAGTTCTAACAATCAAAGTTGGGAGTGTTCTTGAATCAAATGCTTATTTTCTCTATTTTTGGATCAGCACTCCAGCTTTGTTCCCTTCCCCTTCTGCAATTTTCTGTTCCCCAAAAAATAGTATGTTACACAGAGTGGACTACGTTTTATAGACTTTACCCTTCGCCAAAGTTTCTAAGAACTGCGTTGTTTAGAAGAGTGCAAGGGCGAATTTAGTCATTCCACACGCAGACTTCATAAGGTAGGTGTTCCCTAATGGAAATATGCAAATACATGCTAGAACGAACCAATAGGATCTCGCTAGCTCGTGCTTGGTTTTGCCCACCTCCTTGCTTGTTCTGCTCACTATGCTTCATTTGCTCCCATTGGAAACAACAGGCTGTAGTGTATCTTGGGTTAGTTATAAAAATCTTTGGTACAGTACACAAAAAGTGGTCAAAGCATTTCAGCTATTTATGAAAAAATCCCCTGAGGATCTTAACTCATGACACTTATTATCACACATTGCTTTCTTTAATATATTTAGATAATATTTGAAAAACGTATCTTTCCAGCAATCAATTCTAATCACAACAGCTGTGAGATATATTTCCATACAGGTCAACCCCTGACAGCTGTATGGTGTATTTCTGAGCTATATATGGTTTAGTCTGGCGATTATCTGGAATGTAAACCTTTTCTCCCCGCGTCTTTGTTTGGACCTACCTTTGGCCACGATGAACATGCCTCCACTCTGTAGGAGGTCCCCAGTGAAGTTCCCCTGGATCCCTTGAGCTTTGGCCTGGAGGACAGAACAGAGGACAAACCATGTAAAACACCTTCCAATTCCACTCAGACAGACAGAAGAGGCCATATACATGCAGTATCAACTGAACATAACCCCCCTCCCGCGTCAACCATGATACAGCAATGTTATTGGACAAAGTGAAATCACAAATATTAACTTTGTCGTAACCTCTCGTATTTTCTTCCCCAGTGCTGCAGGAACCACACTAAGAGCCGTGTACCTGTTTACGAATGTAAGATTAAATAATAAATAATAATATGCCATTTAGCAGACGCTTTTATCCAAAGCGACTTACAGTCATGCGTGCATACATTTTTGTGTATGGGTGGTCCCGGGGATCGAACCCACTACCTTGGCGTTACAAGCGCCGTGCTCTACCAGCTGAGCTACAGAGGACCAGATTACAAATGTAAGTTCTATGCAAGAGCTATTTTTTTCTTCTTGGCACTCCAAGTAGTACATCTAGATAAGTAAATAGTACACTGATGACCTAACTTACCTTTTGAAGCCCAGATCCTTTCTCGTCAATGTAAAGGTCTGCCACAGAAGACAACAGGACGATTATGATACGATCCACAAAGTCTCAAAACTCTTACTATGGCAGAGCAGGGCATTTAAGGTCGGCTGTGAAATCCATCAGGAGGCAAGTTTATTGCTTTCTAAGTGAATGGCCATAAATGGCCAGTGTTACAAAAGGAAGCTACATATGTTGTGTAAGGGTGACAAAGTTTCTATGGATTCTAAATGACAAAAATTGTCATTAAAAAGTAAATGGTATTCAAAGATACATTTTTTTGAATACATTTGTGGTTGCTTGAGAAGTCAAAAGGGTTGGGTTGTAGACATCATTGGTCTATTGCCCAATGTGATTTTGGACAACTGACTCTGTGCCCCCAATCTAGAATCATTATTTTGCAAAACAGACATGGATTTTTTTTTAACCTTTGAAGAATCCCCCCTCCTTAAACTCCTTCAGGCCTGTCTCCTCAGGTCCGATGCCCACCAGGGCGATACCGTTGGCTGTCAGGTCTGGCTCAAGTTTACTGATCTCTGCTGCTGTCCAGCGGCCCACCTGGCAGCCAAACCTGCGCAGGAAGAACAGGACCACAGGCTTGTCGCGCCATAAAGACTGGAGCTCCACACTCTGCAACAAATGACAGAGAAAATTGACATGTTATTTTACCTTTATTTAACTAGGCAAGTCAGTTAAGAACAAATTATTATTTACAATGACGGCCTACCCCGGCCAAACCCGGACGACGCTGGGCCAATTGTGCGCCGCCCTATGGGACTCCCAATCACTGCCGGTTGTAATACAGCCTGGAATCGAATCAGGGTCTGCAGTGCCTTAGACCGTGCGCCACTCGGGAGCCCCCTGAGTGAGGGAGGGAGGTTACTTCCCTGAATAGTTATGTTAGTGAGGGAGGGAGGTTACTTCCCTGTAGCTCAGTTGGTAGAGCATGGCGCTGGATAAGAGCGTCTGCTAAATGACGTAAATGGTATGGGTAATATTTAGACCTTGGCTGCTGAAAGCATGTTACCTTGGCTGTGATGTGTTTGGTAATCATATCTGTATGAAACCCTCTGGCCCGGCCCAGCCCAGCGCTGTGAACTGCCGTGGTTGTTGTGTGGGTAAGTAATCCCAGCAGGGCTCGCTAGCCGGGGCGTTGTTTACTGTGTGTTCTCCCCTGACGGAGGTGCAGAGGTGCTGAGCTGTTGTTTGTTGAGGGCTCAGCAGTCTGTCTCTGGGCCGTAGAGATAAGGGCATGACTAAGCAGTGGGCAGAGAGAGAAGAGAGGGGGAGAGATCGACAGAGGCTCTGCACTGCTTATCTGGATCTCTGTGCTCCAAGGCCCGGCCCGCCCCTCTGACTGAGCTCTCCGGTGGGTGACCTTGACAAGAATGTGGATTATTATTGTAATAAATACCGCTCTGGTGGAATGGCTGGAGGTCAGGAGGGGAGGAAGGGAGGAGACAAGGCGGGAAGTAGGGAGAGAGGGAAGAGTGAGGGAAGGGAGGGTGCAAGGGGGATTTCCGGTATTTTCCACAGCACAGATGGGACTTTGTTGAAACATGTCGCGGGGAGACCGGTCGGGTTAGAGCAGCAGATTGGCATCTCAGTTTGGTGTCCCGGAACTGTTTACTACTACTACTACTTCACCGTCCCAGCAGCAGCCATGTTGTTTTTCCTCAGTCTTCCGTCTGGATTTGTTCAAGGGAAGCCTGGGAGTTGTGTTTTTGGGATGGGGCTTGACTGAGGCACTGCGTGTGCCTGGCATTCCTTTGGCTTAATTAACTCCCCGGCAACAGAGCTAACAACCCTTTCATAGTTTATTTTTTATTTTTTAATCAAGAATCTCCAGCTCATCTCAAAATGTAAGTGCTGTGTTGATTTTGCTACTCGGTGGGGGGAAAAGGATGTTGTACAGAGATTGGAACTACAGTGAAAGTACACCCTTGTGAAGGGGGTGTGGGAAGATTTCAAGTGGCCATGCTTTTGGGGGGTCGTTGGGGGGCCCTTTGAGTTTGGTCTCCTCCCATTACCACCAGCACACAATACCAGGCAGAGGCCCCAAGCCAGCCAGCCACCGTCCGAGTTGAAGGGGGAGGGGTAGGGCAACAGAGGCAGGCGAGGGGAGGGAGGTAATCAGCTTGGCTTGTGTTGCGACCAGAGAATAGAGGAGCAAACACCTGCTGAGTTCCAGCCAGCCAGCCAGTTCTCAGACAGGAAGGTACTGCTGTAGTCAACCGTGTCCCTTTTCTTAATACACCACTGAGCTGCCAGCTCCCCCAAGCACTAACTCTCTCAGGTAGCAGCACATTCTCAATTGGCTCTCCTCGAGTGGAAAGAGACGGGAAAGTGGGAGGCAGAAAGGGTGTCAAGTATTTTTTTTCTCTCTGCATATGTAGTCAGAGTTGGTGTACACAAATCCATGTATGCACTCCCGTGTAAACGGAATATAGACGTCAAGCCATCCGTGAAACTCTTGTGCAGTTATCAGGCAATCTAAGGTCTTTTTCAGCTTGCTTTGCTACCTTCTGGTTTCATACAGGTTCCTGTCCCTGAATACTGATAAGCCGGGAGGCTTTCTCTCTCCCCCTCTCGCTCACTCACTCACTCGCGCTCTCTCTCTCTCCCCCTCTCTTCTCTCTCGTGAAACACTATCTTGCTTGTTATGCCGTATGTAGAAAAGCTTTTCCTCCCCGCTGTCTGGTCATATTACACCCAGTAGTCCGGGCTGTGTTCTCAGGGAACACAAACACTTCTCAGTGTTTCTACTCCCTCTCTCTCTCTCTCTCTTGCTCTTTCTCTCGTACTCTGTCCTCCCTCCCTTTCTCCGATTCTGTTTTCACGCACGGGCTCTAAAAGCAAAGAGGCATCGGAGGTGGAGCTGGCAGCAATCCATCAAGGCTGAAACTAGGGCAAGCAAAGGGAAATGTAACCTAAACGGCAGGCTAAACCAAAGAGCACAGCCTCTCAGTAAGTAGAGACACTGCCTTTGTACGTTCGGAGGAGTAGCTGGTGACCGCCCTTCCCTGCACACACAGCGCCTTTTCCACGTTATTTTTAAAATGGGCATAATGTAGGCGTCGACAATGTCTTGTGAAAAACCGAGTCCTGCAACAACGCCGTTTAGCCCGGGGCCTGAGAGCATTAAATCGAAGCTTTGCTTCCATTTCCTCTCTATTTTTTTTTTTTTTTTCTGTCTGCCTCAGCTGCTCGGAAAACACCCTTCTGAGTGCACACTCGTAATCAGGCAGCCTGCGCTGTGCTTCGGTGCCTCGGCTTTCAACTCTGAACAGAGCCCATTGTTGTCTGATGTCTGTGTTAGCCGAGTGTGCTACTAGGCTGTGTCTCAAATCATGCCGCCTCAACCCACAGAGAAGAGGCTAAAATGCCTTACCGCCTAACCACAGAGACACCCAAGAGTAGTGGAAATTGACGGCATAAGGATGAAGGTAGCTTCACGCGGTTTATTGTATTAGAGCAAACGAGAGCTGTCGTAATGACTATTCCTAGCCGCGGTGACAATAACAGTTGAATTGCATAACGTCTAGGCTAGCAATGTCTCACTAACAAGCCGCTGCGTTCAACTGTTTTGTTGAACCAGCAATTGGCCGTGTGATCTATAATTGACAGTCATTTTTTTCAGCCATTGGCTATAGGCCTTCTGTAGCTCAATGTTGAACAGTGCTCTCTTTCTTCCCCTCTGCTGTGTTGTCAAGTGCCTCCTACTCAGTTGAGGCCTCTGCTGAATTGTCGAGACCAGGCTATTGGCTGCTTGCAAAGTACAGGTGTTGTCGGGGTTACCACCAGTTCTTGCTTCCTCACAGCCACTGTCTCTCTCACACACTCACTGTCTCTCTCACACACTCACTGTCTCGCTCTTCACCTACAGTTGAATTGTCATCGCCACAGGCAGTAGAGAAAGGCATCTCTTTTGTTTAGCACCTTCTGTGGCAGCAGGAATCCAGTGAATGGCCTCTTCAGGTAAGGCCTTGTCAACTTGCCAACGATTATTCTCTTTTAAATCAAAGCTGCTTTCGTTTACCATAGAATCATAGCGAATATCAAATGATCCTCTTTATTGAAAATTTATTTTTTATTTTTTATTGTCTGGCCTAGTTTCCCTTTCTCAAGGGCTGCTTGATTTAAAAGGCTGGAGACTTTGATTTGTGTTTCATTTAGTTCGGTACAGTAACGATTATATTTTGGTTTCACTGCCTCGTTGATGTTGTTAGGATGTGAGAGGGCTTGGCGTAGTCTCTTTCCTCTTAGCAACAGGTGAATAGCTGGCTGAGGCTGTTGCTAAGGGCCCGCAGATGAGGGAGGGAGGCTGGATTCTCTGAGCTGTCTGAAGGCACCGCCTCAATCTGTCTCTCCCTTGTGGGGGACTGTTTGGCAAACCCACCCTCCTCCCTACGCATTAAAATGGGTCACTGAAGAATACCAGTTCTTCCTAGTCATTGAACATCCTACTTGGTCCTTTCAAAAAAATATATGTTTTATTGTCACAGTGAAATGTGTTGTTTTACAGGGTCAGCCATAGTAGTATGGCGCCACTGGAGCAAATTAGGGTTAAGTGTCTTGCTCAAGACCACATCGACAGATTTTTCACCTTTCGGTTACTGGCCCAACGCTCTAACCGCTAAGCTACCTGCCGCCCTTTTGTGCATAGTAGAAATAATACGTTTGTACATATTGGAAAGAATACTTGATGGCAAGGTATTCAGAATCTGACTTTTATTGTGATACCATTGTCATTTAAAATCTATTTTGCTGAGGCAGTTTTAATTAATGTCCAACTCTCTCGTTAGACTTCTCTTTGTGTTGTGTCAATAATGGTTAAAGGGGTCTGTTGAAGTTGATGTGGGAGGTGGTGTGATTGAATTAGCCAGGGCGCAGCTCTTGCTGTTGACTAGCAGTAGGCTCTGCATGTGAACTGTAAAACAAAGGTTTCTGTGGTGCCCTGGATTGCACGACACTGTCAGCCATTTCTACCCGCAAATCTCTCACACCTCCCCTTACCTGTCACTTTCTGTGGTCTGTCTGCTTTCACCCACTGCAAGCTCTCCCTCGCTCGCACACTAAACACCAACCGGGGAGTCTCAATCATTACCTCACAAAAGGCCTAGCCAATTATACAAACCTTATATGGTATTTTAAAGAAGTGGTTGTTGAACAAATGGGTCTTCAAGTCATTTATAGGATAGCGTTAACTATGTTTCTGTTAAACCATGCATTTAAACATGGCAGTCTCTCCGAGTTGTGTCTGCAGTCCCATTTAAGTCACTTTCATCATCAGTTACAGAGCGCCCGAGAAAACATGTCAGTTTGGTTTCATTCCTCTCAAAGGCGAAGGAGAGAAAAAATAATGGTCCAAGGCCTGTTGTATGTAATTGTGGGATGCATGTTTGAGGAGGCGTACTGTTAGCTGGCAGCCATATGCTGGCAAGCAGCATCTTTTTTTATGAATAAACTGCCTCCTCCGTGAATCTAGGTTACAAGGGGGGAGGGCTCAGTGTAGACAAGCTTGGTTTACTCAGCGGGGCTATTAATGTGGTGGTTGTCTTTTGTTGTTT